TCCATTTTCCCTTGGGACAAATCAAAATAGTCCTCCTTCTGGAGCCATCGGGAGAGGCGGTGGTAACTATGGAGCTTCTGCCTATCAAGGGGCTCCAGAAACAGTAGCAGGAGGCGAGTGGTCCCAGGCCTGGCTACCAAGTGATAAGTGGCCAGTCTTAACTCTAAATTGCACCAGGGGCTGGCTAAGGCCTGGTGGGTGAGCACACAGAGGGTGGCTCTGCTTTTGCCCATGCTGGCAATCATGGATTCCATCCTGTCATTTCCAATCTCAAAGTCCCTAGCAGGGAGGCACAACCTCAAGCCATCACCTTCAGGAGGGGCTTTCTCCAAAACTGGAACCAGTTCTTCCAGGACCCAAGCTTGGTCTGCCTCACAATAGGATATAAAGACATCATAGTTGAATTTGCCTCTGAGTCTATGTCCACCTAATTTCCACCAACAAGTGTGAAAGATCCTCCAGAGGTGACGAAGCCAGGACCATTTATGACAGCTAATCAGAGGAAGGATAATCAGAAGAAGCAGCAGAGTGAAACTGGTGAGAAAGCCCCAAAACTCAGTGCCATGTGGACAATTAGTTGCAAGGAAGGAGAACAGTAGAGTTTTGGAGTAGTCAGAGGCATTAGCCATGCAGACGGATTTGTCCAGCCCATAAACAAAAGTGTTTGGGGCCCGTGTAGCCCAAGACTCCAGCCAGGAAGTTTCACACTGGCAGGTAAAGGTGACATCCGAGAAATAAACGTACTGAGGTATCTGGGGAATTAACTCCTGGAGGTTGCTGTTAATCTCCAGGGCCCTTTCAGAGTTGAGCAGCAGCAGTTTGAGGTCCCGCAAGCCCTTAAAACTGGACACAGACAGGTTCCTGAGATTCAGGTGGCTCAATGCTAGCACCTGTAACTGAGGCACCTCTTTCAGTAGCATCTCTAGCTTCATAGTACTTGACTCAGAGAAAAAGTTAAGGTACCCCAGCTCTAGCACACGCAGCCTGGGCATCCCAAATAGATGGAGGTCTACCGCATTGCTGTTTTCACACCAGATAAAGAAGTGCTCTAGGAGAGGAAGCTGTTGTGAGAAGAATCTCTGCAGTTGATTGATTGAGAAGGTGAGGCTGTAGCCACGCAAGGTGAGGCGGCGCAGGGAGGGAAAGTGAATTGTGGTATTGTCTGGTTTCAGTAATAGATATGAAGTCTCTAAGGTAAGGTTCTCCAAGAATAGGAATGGCTCTCCACTGGGAACCATAAACTGAATACATGCTTCTGCTTTTATTTCTAAGCTGAGGAGATTTGGGAGCCAGGGAGGATATATGTCCAGCATTAAAACAGAACCCAATTTTAGATGTCTTAGCATCTTGGGACCCTGAAGTTGTGTGCCTGAGATATGCTCTAAGTAGGTGCCCAGAAGGTTCAAGGTAGTCAGAGCGGGAAGATGAGAGAGCCAGCCTGGTTTGAGTACTTTAATTTGATTCCAACTCAAGTCTAGTGTCCTCAGCCACCTCAGTCCCTGCAGGCTCTCATTTGATAAACTAGAGATGTTATTGCCACTCAGCCAGAGCTCCTGGAGCTGTGAAAGAAAGGAGAAAGCCCCATGGGGTACATCACAGAGTTGATTGTGGGACAGATCTAGCACCTTTAAGTTTGTGCTAAACAGTCCTTCTGGAAGCTCCAAGATTGGGCCAAGCTTATTCATAGATAGGTTGAGCTTCTGAAGTTGGGGTAGAGAATGTAGGAACCTGATGGGAAGTGACTGCAGATGGTTATCATGAAGGCTAAGGAATTCCAGGGCTTTGTAACCTGGGAGATCTCCATTTTCCAAGATGTTCTGGATTTGGTTCTTTCCAAGATCAAGTGCACGAAGCTCAGAGAAGCCAGTCCCATTTGCAGACAGTTTTTCTATACCTGTACCCACAAGGGAGAGGAAGTGCAAGTGGAGCAGTCCTGTGTTTGTGAGATCAAGTGCTCTTAGTGGGGTGCCATCCAATATTAGGGAATGGAGTGTGAGGCCATACAAGTCACCTGCCTGCTTCAGCTGAAGGTTGTAAGATAAATCCAGCATCTCTAGAAAGGGTGTCCTTGGTTTGGTATTGGGTGTAGAAGAGGCACTCAGCAGAAGATCTGGGAAGAGCCTTTGAAGTTCCTGCAACTTTGTCAGACAGCTGTTCCTCATGGTTAGATGCCTAAGACTAGTTGGCAAGTAGATGCTTTGGCTATAAGTCAGGCAGTATCCTTGAAAGGAAAGATGTCTAAGGGATCTGAGAGACTCTAAACAATTTGGAGGGAGGAATAAACGTAGGCAACAGGGACCATGATGCTCAAAAAAAAGATACTGTAGCTGGTCCAGTCCTTGAAAAGTCCTAGATGTGATGTTGGTTGTACCCAATTGCAGCCTTAGAAGCTGTAGGGAGCGGAAGCGATCAAAGGCATTAGCTGGCAGAGTAGGAACCATGCCCTGTAGGCAGAGTACCTCTGTATTTCTGGACACTCTTTCTAGTGTCTGACTTATGTTTTTAACATTGGAACAAGATGCCAAAAGGTGCAGTCCTGGGGCCAAGGTACAGAATGGGATGTAGTAGGAAAGGTTAGGAAATAGCAAGCTGTCTGCTATGATGCAACCAGGGATGGTCCATGCCCAGCCAGTCAAGTTAAGGCTCAACAAAGTCAATAGTATCAGAATGAGAACAGAGCAGAATTGATGTCTTTCCATCCTTGGAATTGATTCTAGAAGAAGAGAGGGAAAGAATGTGGTAACAACTTATAGTGATGAGCAATCCCAGCCTGGGCCTTCTAATATGCTTAACATCCTTGGGATTTAGGGATATATTGGGAACTATTCCTCTAATCAAGATATTAGTGACACATTTACCAAGTTACAGAGTCAAGTTGTGGCCACTGATGTGTGACTCCAAACAGGTAGGAAACCAGAGGAAACAGAATCATAGGGCAACAGGAGACTCATAAAAGCCTGTGATATTCCAATCTCTCTGCTGGGGATAACTGGCTCAGGCTATGGAGGAAGCCATCATCCAAAACAAGGCAGAAAACTGACTTGTTCATTGGAGAGTACACTGGAAAGGGGAATCATGCTACTGACACATTTACATATGAAGAAAATTCTTAGCCATGTGACAATGGTGGACTCTAGTCCTTCTTTACTAATCAGGCCATGAAACTAAATTATGTCTTAGTCAAAGAAGCAGAAAGTGTCAGATGTGAGACTATAGTCAATACTTTTCCTACCAGGATTAGTGGTCTGACATAAATGTTCCCAGACAGAACTAAGGAAACCTTTCAGGTAGATTTTAGGGTTGAGTTCAGGGAGACAATATTCAAAGATAGTTCAGGTAAAATATTCACAGGAAATAAAGAAAGTAGGCTAATAAAAAACAAAGGAAATAATGTCTTGATATTTTTGAGCCTAGAGCCTAGCACTACTGGTAGTAATGGTGAGTTGGCTGTGTTCTCATTATTTGTGTCTCTTCTCTCATGGAGAGAGGCCTCTGAGTGACCACTGTTAAATTGTGGTGGTCATGAAAGTCCCTGAAAGGTTTGGAAGAGACAGGAGAGTAGTCAGTTGTTCTGGGGATTACAGGCACCAGTTAGTCACAAGTAAAGGGCACCATCCTATTCAGTAGCTCATGCCCTTGTGCAGAGGATTTACCATGAAATGCCATGGACTTCTCTACTTTACTTTGGTCACTATTTCTCCTGTGTGATAACACACTGACTCTAGAGGTATGTAAGTATATTGTGTCCAAGGGCCTTTCTCTGTCTCTCTGTCTCTCTGTCTCTCTCTGTCTCTGTCTTTCTGTCTCTCTGTCTCTCTCTGTATCTCTGTCTCCGTCTCCCCCTCCCCTCCCTTTCCCTCCCCTTCCCCCCCCTCTCTCTCTCCCTCCTGAGCCTCAGATTCCACTGAAGTTCAGAGGAGCCAGAGAAGAGTCTGAGACTTCATCTTCTAAAAGGCATGACCTCATTGTAGATGCTCTTTGTTGATCTTATCCATCTTTCTACAGCAAAGGGTGTTCTTTTCTTTTCCTTTCCTTTCTTTTCTTTCTTTTCTTTTCTTCTCTTTTCTTTTCCTTTTCTCCTTTCTTCCCTCCCTCCCTCCCTCCCTCCCTCCCTCCCTCCCTCCCTCCCTTCCTTCCTTCCTTCCTTCCTTCCTAGCCTTGAAGTATCAAATAGTGTACAATAGCAATTTAAACTTTCTTTTCCCTTTTCAGTTTACCTAGGATGAATTCAGGGACTAGAATAGATCTCAGATCAAGGAGACACAGTGACCTTGGTACCGAGACCCTGGCACTATAGAAGTATGGGTATGATAGCAACTTCTGTCTCAAGATATCAGGTTTAATATAACCCTGAAAGACATATATAGATTGTTCAAGAACTACGGAGTCTCTCGTGGTCACCTAAACTATGGGGACCCTTAGTTCAACTGTCCCCAGATTCTTCCTGGTCACCAATGGCCTTGATCTTTGGCTCTCTCTCAAGAGAGGTAGATGCTTAGTGGTTTGCCTTCTTCCCTGCTGGTGTCAATAATGCTCATCTGCCTTGCTCAGAAAATCCTGTTATTAAGACAGCATTTCTTACCTTCCAGCATGGAGTGGTGCAGATAAATTTATGTTCTCAGGAGGAGTTCTTTTTCATCTCCCATAGCCAAAGAAGAAAACCTTTCTCTTCCCTCCAGGATGGCTCCTGCTCTGCTGCACAGAAATGTTATTGGTGATAGGTGGGAAGTTCTAGGGAAGAGAGAGAAAGAGAGTGCTTAGTTCATTTTAGGAAAGGTGGAGCATGATTTTTCTTTAGACTGTCTCCTTTTCTTTCAGTTTCATGACTTCCTCTTTCCTACTGTACTCTGTGGGTTTCAGTTCTCACAGACTTTGTATCACATCCTCCTAACATCTGGAAAAGCAGTCTTCATTTTGCTGGACAATTCTGTGTCTTAAAATAAGAGAGGCTCATGCTTTCTGCCATTTCTACCATTCCTTTGTCTTCAGACTACTGTTACTAGAGGGATCTCAGGTGTCCTGTGATGTGCTGCTCCAACAATGAATAGAACTAGGCATGGAGTTGTAGGAGTGAAGATTGTAGTGGAAGCATAGACTCCATTGCACAGGAGATGTTAGCTCCAGCAAGCATGCAGCCCCGAAGCTGGCGTGGTTACAGAGATTTTATTAACAAAAGGCAATGAAGAGTTTTCTGAAGGGGTAGGTCTTTATTTGGCTGCTAGAGGTAATTTACTTGTTTGTTGGAGGGGGCTTGTACAATCTTTGTTGTAATCAGGGGAAGTTCAAACGATTACCTTGCATGGTTGCTGGGTCTCAGAGTTTGTCATGTAAGCCTGAGTCTATGTTCTTGTTTCACCACTAGTCCTGTGTGAGTGCATGCATGCGTGCTCACATGAATGCATGTATGCAGGCATCTGTGTAGGGACCAGAGGACAAAATGAGTGTCGATACCTTGTTGGTATCATGGACCTTTTACCTTGTTTTAAACAGGGTCTCCATTGTGTTTGTATTGTGTGTGCCATGGTATTTGGTCCAAGAGCTTCCAGGGATTCCCTTGTCTCTGTCCTAATTTCCCTATAGATTATAGATGTTTGTTCTGTATCTTTCCTCTTATTTGAGTTCTGTAGATTTGAACTTTGGTCCTCAGACTTGTGTGGCAAATGTGTTTACCCACTGAATCAATTCTCCAGCTCCCAGTCATGTCTTGTCTTGATATCAGGTATCACATTCCTTTCCTTCTTTAGACAGTAAGGTTACATGACTTTACTATAGGGAGCTCAGTTTTTCCACCAATGTTGGAGTGTAGAGGAAGGGGGAGAAGAGGAAGGTAGGTCTCTACATAAATGGCAAAATACTTTCCATAGAATACAAGTTATAGGGATGCCATTCAAATTCATATCTGGCTTTATTTGTTTGAAATCTTCTGTTCAAATTAGTATTTTAAAAAAATTATCAAGTGTCATTGGTATTTCATAATACTTTGTTCTCTTTCAGGTAATTCCCCTTCCACTCTTTCCTTCTCTCCTCCTTTTAGGTTGCCTTCCTCTTCTCTTCAACCCTGCTCTGTTTTCATGTCACATGCATTTGATGAATCTCTTTTTTCTCCTTCCTTCTCTACCCATGCTAAGATCTCTGCCCTTTTGTGGTCCCCCTTTCTGTAACAGCCTGTTTGGGTCAGTCAACAGGGTCTAGCGAGAGAGAGAGAGAGAGAGAGAGAGAGAGAGAGAGAGGAAGGAGGGGCAAGAGACTCAAAGAATGGAAACAAGACAGAGTCTGATCAAGTCTCTTCTTTTTTATTGAAAGGAATTCCTGGGTATTTATACGCTTTTCCATGTGCCTTGCCACCATGGACAAGCAGGTGAACACAGCTGGAGGCACTATGTCATGTGTCTTGCAGCGTGGATACTACATGCGCCTTGCAGCTGGGGGCACTAAACAACAAAACAAGATATGGGAGAAAAACAAGATGTTTATCAGAGTGTGCTCAGCTGTTGTGGGCTGTTGAAAACAAGTCTCTTGTCAGGGTATATGGCCTGAGATGGCTGCAAAGATGATAGCCGCTTTCTGCTAGGAGTTGGCTCCCAATACCTTTCTAATTTGATGATATACATCCCCCACTCTCTCCAGAATATTCTCACATATGCAAAAATTTTAAAAAGTTTCCTCCACACATGACAGAAAATAACACCTACCTTTCTGAGTCTAACTTCTCAATTCAAACCTGTTGAGTGTTAGTTGTCATTTGTTCTTATAGGAGCAATGGGATGGATGTGATTTTGGAGATATTTAAATAGTGCTTTTATTTCCTGTGCCAACCAGTCTGTTTTTAAGTACCTTGTGTGAGGCTTCTATTGTGTTTCGAATTGGAGAATAAATTGAACTTATTTTTTATACATATTAATGAGTTTTTGACAAAAACGTTTAGTTCTACAGTGTTTAAATGTTTTTTTTTTAATAGAATTCCAGTTTCTTCAGCAACACTATAGTTATGGCTGCCTTGATTTTTCTTTTTAATAATTTGTCTTTTAAAAATTTCATATCCATTATCTGTTTATATGTACACACACACACGCATACACACACATACATATGTACACACACACATGCACACACACACACATACACACACACATATACATATTGGCATAAAAGGATGATCAGTTTCCCAAAGGAACCACTTCTAAGCTTTCATTACTATATTTGGATATTCTCTTAACAACATTCCCAGCTTAAGAAGTTTATTATTTTACTTTTTTTTTAACTATGTTTAACTGTTTTTATGGTCCAGTCCTTATGCCCCTCCTGGTCTGCCCTCTGACAGGTCCTCATCCCATTCTTCCTCACCCTGTACTCCCCACCCTCCTATCTCCAAGAGGATGTCCCTACCTCCCACCCTCCAACCCCCAGCCTATCCCCACCCCTCAACCCCCCACCCTGCATGGCTAGGTATCTCTTCTTTCTGGGGCCTCAAGTTGCTGGAGAGTTAGGTTCCTCCTCTCTCACTGAGGCCAAACCAGGCAGTCCTCTGCAGTATATGTGTCAGGGCCTCATACTGGCTTGTGTATGATGCCTAGTTGGTGGCTTAGTGTCTGAGAGATCTCAGGGATCCAGGTTAGTTGAAACTGCTGATCTTCCTTTTGGGATTGCCTTCCTCCTCAATTTCTTCCAGCCTTTCCCCTATTCAACCACAGGAGGCCCTGGCTTCAATCCATTGGTTGGGTGTAAGTATCTGCATTTTTCTTAGTCAGCTACTTGTTGGTCCCCTCTAAAGGCAACCATGCTAGGATTCTGTCTGTAAGTACATCATAGCATCGGTAATAGTGTTAGGTCTTGGATCCTCCCCTTGAGATGGATCCCAATATGGGAAGGTCACTGGACCTCCTTTCCCTCAGTCTCTCCTCCATTTTTGTCCCTGCAGTTCTTTTAAATAGGAACAATTCTGGGTCAGAATTTTTAACTGTGGGATGGCAACTCCATCCCTCCACTTGATGCCTTGTCTTTCTGTTGGAGGTGGACTCTATAAGTTACCTCTCCCCACTGTTTGGAATTTCATCTAAGGTCCCTCCCTTTGAGTCCTGAGTGTCTCACACCTTCCAGGTCTCTGATACTTTCTAGAGAATACCCCCACTTTCCACCCGAGGTTCCATATTTCCATTCTTTCTGCTGGCCCTCAGGGCTTTACTCCTGTTCTCCAGCCCCCCCAATATCTGATTATATTCCCCTTTTCCCCTCCCTGTCCCCTCTCCCACCAAGGTCCCTCCATTCCCCTGACTCCTATGATTGCTTTCTTCTCCCTTCAAAGTGGATTGAACCATCCTCACTTGGGTCCTTCAGCTTGTTAACTTTCTTGAGTTCTGCAGATTGTATCTTGGGTACTCTGCACTTTTTTGGCTAATATCCACTTATTTGTGAGTACATACCATGCATGTCCTTTTGGGTATGGGTTACCTTACTCAGAAATGATATTTTCTAGTTCCATCCATTTGTCTGCAAAACTCATGATGTCTTCATTCCTAATACCTGAATAGGATTCCATTGTGTAAATGAACCACATTTTCTGTACCCATTCTTCCATTGTGGGACATCTGGGTTGTTTTCAGCTTCTGGCTATCACAAATAAGGCCTCCATGAACATAATGGAGCACGTGTCCCTGTGGCATGGAGGGGCATCTTTTGTGTATATTCCCAAGAGTGGTATAGCTGGGTCTTCAGGTAGATCTATTTCCAATTTCTGGGGAAACTCCAGATTGATTTCCAGAGTGGTTGTACCAATTTGTAATCCCATCATCAATTGAGGTGTATTCCTCTTTCTCCACATTCTTGACAACATGTGCTGTCACCTGAGATTTTGATCTTAGCCATTCTGATTGGTGTAAGGTGGAATCTCAGCATCATTTTGGTTTGCATTTCCCTAATGACTAAGGACTTGGCACATTTCTTTAAGTGCTTCTCAGCCAGTCAAGATTTCTCTGTTGTGAATTCTTTGTTTAGTTTTATACCTCATTTTTCCGATTGGGTTGTTTGAGTTTTTTGAAGGTTAGTTTCTTGAGTTCTTTATATATTTTGGATATTAGCCCTTTATCAGATGTGGAGTTAGTGAAAATATTTTTCCCAATTTGTAGGTTGCCAATTTTTCCTACTGACTATGTTCTTTGCCTTACAGCTTTCTAGTTTCTTGAGGTTTCATCTGTCAGTTCTTGATCTTAGAGTCTATGCCACTGGAGTTCTGTTTAGGAAACTCCCCCACCCCCACCCCGTGCCAATGAATTTGAGGCTCTTTCCTAGTCTCCTAGTAGATTCAGTGTATCTGTTTCTATGTTGAGGTCCTTGATCCACTTGACTTGAGCTTTGTGCGAGGTGACAAATATGGATCTATTTTCATTTTTCTACATACTGACTGGTAGTTAGACCAGCACCATTTGTTGATGATGCTTTCCATTTTCCATTGTATATTTTTGGCTTCTTTGTCAAAGATCAAGTGTCCATGTATGTGGTTTTGCTTCTTGGTCTTCCATTCTATTCGATTCATTGACCTGTCTGTCTCTGTACCAATACGATGCAGTTTTTTATCACTATCCCTCTGTAGTATAGCTTGAGGTTAGAGATGGTGATTTCCACAGAAGTTATCTTATTGCTAAGAATTGGTTTTGCTATCCTGGGTTTTTTTATTTTACTCTTTTAATATTACTTTTTAAATGTTTTTAATTTTTGAAAAATTTATAGCATATATTATACCATTATTGCACCATCTTGCAATAGAATTGAAGTTATTTTATTCTTGTTGTAACAGTCATAGTTAGGTGAAGTTGATGATTACTTTTTTCTTCCAGTAGTTTCTTCCCATACTATAAATGCTAGTCAGTAGGGATGAAGCTTCTAGTTGAGTATTAGCTTGATTTTTTTCATAGTCTATGACATATGTATGTAATGTCTTCAGCAGCAGGGTCTTACCATCAGGTTTTGGGTGGTAACTGATAGCACTGCCAATACTATATAATGTTTGGAGGAATCTAAATGACTTTTTTTTGCCAATGACTTAAAAGATGTAAAACATTTCTGAAACTATGGATTTTTATTGGGTAACACATGTTATCTAGTTGGAAGTACTGTCTTCATTAAATGGTAACTCTTTTTAAATTCCTTTTATATACGTTTACGTTTTAGGAAGTTTCTATAACAGTAAGTTTCCATATGGTTTT